TCGGTGCACCATTTTCTCCAAAGTTTCTGTAATGATTCCAATAGGGGATCCTTCCTCCTCTTCTCCATGGCCTTCCTCGGAATCTTCTTTGGAATGTTGGGAATCTAGTGGTCGATCCATCATCATAAGAGAGTCTTTCGAAAACATCATTACTTTGAAGTCTACCTCTTCCTCCTCGAGAAGGATACATCTCTCTTCTAATCCACTGCCTCCGATTTTCACTAACACCAGAGCCAACGGATTTCTGCTGACTTTCTTCGATCGTTGGTCGGACTGTTTGATCTACTTTGTCATTTTTCCTTTTATTTTGGTTCTCGATCTTCTTCATCTGTTCTGTTCTGAAAGCTTTGGCAGCCGATTTATCGAAAACTGCATTACAACGTGGGCATAATGACACATCTTCGTCTTTCTCCTTTTTCCTATTCAAAAATTCAATGAGAGAATCTCCTGATCGAGGGTATATTTCCTTTTCGAACTCTCTCTCGAATTCACTCAGGTCAAATTCCATATCTTCAGACACGTCCATTCTAACGTGCTTAGGATCGATGTCTTCAGTGACATCTACCATGCCTATAAAGGCCGAATTTGTTAATCGGACATCATCAGTAATGCCTGTCTGGGATTCGAGGTATCCAACTTGGGCCTCGAAAGGACTCGTGTCAACTTTCATTGTCATTTCTTCGAACCTCAACCTTCCTTGGTCAATCGCATCTTGGATGGTGTTCCTGAAATGTATACAATTGTTAGTCCAATGTCCATACACATTATGAAATTTGCAATATTTTCGACCATTCCTTTGTTCTCGCAGACTGCAGTTTATGATCATCACTCAACTTAATCTGTTTGTCTTTCAATAAAATATCAAAGATTTTGTCCGCTTTTGTTACATCAAAAGTATATGTTCGATTTGCCATTTTATCTTTTACTTCATTCTTTTGTAGCAATTTACGGGTATATGGAGCCCCTACTTTGAGTTCTGCTAAGTTTACTTTCTCATCGACAGCTTTTTTCAATATCATTTTCTCGTCATATTATCCGTCTCGTATACATCATTTATGTATGCTATTCTTTCCTTTTTCAAAGGTTTCTCATATTTCTTATACCTTTGTTTCTCATACTCTATTTGTTCCACTCTTCTCACTTTATCAGCTAATTGAGCCATGTCATTCAATGGTAAATTGACTAGTTTTTTCCTAATCGAGAATTCTAAACCTGCAGAGGCCATTCTGACTAATTCATATTCAGGAATTTGAGTGAAACACCTCGATTTCATTTGTCTAAATCGATTCAAATAATCATCTATGATTTCATGATTGTATCTTTTTATATTCATCAAGTCGATGAGACTCACTTGAGTTTCTCCTCTAAAGAATTGCTCATGAAAATTTCTTTCCAATTGCAGCCAATTATATATCGAATTGGGTGGCAATGACGTGAACCAAGTAAAAGCACTCTTAGTCAAAGAACTAGGAAAATATTTCATTTTTAATTCTTCACTCATCGCTAAATCCCCGCATTCGATCTGATATCGAGCCACATGCTCGATAGTCGATTCACCAACTTCTCCAGCAAACTTAGTGAATTTGGGTACTTTATATCCTCGAGGCAATTCTGTCTCGAGAATTGCATTCAGAAAGGGAGACACAAAATATGTCTGATTGGGTGGTCTAAATTCCATCCCTTGTAAATTCATTCTTTGTCCCAACATATTATTCTGATTGTGTATGTTTTGAAATCCTTCGTTCAAATTTCCATAAATATCATTCCTCATATTTTGATACTCATTTCCCATACGCTGCTGTTGGTCATTGTTTCTATTTCTTCTCAATAGATATGGGGGATTAATATTAGTATTCTGGTTAGCATGATTTTCTACCCTTGTTCGTCGAGGCACATCTAATGCATCCCCGATTCGTGACATTTGGTCTGCTAATATCTCAAAACTAGCAGTAGTGTTTTGCACTAATCGACTTAAGACTGTAGTCAATTGTTGTGATAACATGTTCACCATTTCAAAATTACTCTCATCCATTTGTTGTCTAAGTACCCCTACTGAATTACTAGATATTCCGGTACCCATGTTTTCGATAGAATCAAAATTAGATCGATGATAGTCTCTATCGAATACATATCTCTCATGATCTAAGTTTCCCCTATGATCTAGATTTGGAGGTATCTGTTGTGTGCCTACATTCTGTCCATTCCCTGAATTCTGGGGAATTACTAAATTTTGCGACGTCCCTAAATTCGGAGGGATTCCAAAATTTTGTGGCATACCTAGTGTTTGGGACATTCCTAAGTTATATCTCGAATTCCTATGCGTTGAAGAAGTTCTAACCCCACTCACATTAAGTGAAAACACGGGCGGTCTTACACTCATGCGTGGCCCTACATATGTGGTTGTGGGATTTCCTATAGTTTGCATATTATTTGGTATCACCGTACTAGATCCTACTTGGGTGTTTGCTAATGTACCTGAATTTTGTTCACTACTCACAGGTATCGACATGCTCACAGTTGTCGATACTACAGGTGTGTTCCCATTATGACTTTGTCCCCCAGTATTTGGTGGGTGTGACACATTTAATCCCTCACTGTTACTCTGGTCACTTGATGAATTGTGACTCATGACTCTCCCACTCCTTAATCTCATACAATTTCGAACTAACCAATTTTGTGTTTCTCAACACAAGACTCCCCTACCTGGCGCGCCAATTTGTTTCTGGTGGAATTTCGATCGATCTCGATTCTAAGGGTGTTTTGGTCCTAATCAAAATTCTACCACGTAAGTTCTTTTTATTTAGGCTAGCAATTTGATTTTCAATCGAAAACGTGTGTGAGAATCGAAAACTACAGGATATCGAAAATGTTGTTTTTGGTGTTTTGTATTTAAAGTATCGAAAGCATTAAGACTATCGAATCGAAAAACAGAATGTTAAATTGCGAGGAAATGTAAAGTGCGAAAACCCCAAATTTGCATGAATTGTAAATAGCAAGGAATCGAAAACAGCGCAAATATAAATGACAAGAAATCGAAATTGCAAGAAAAGTAAATGACAGGAAATCGAGATTGCAAGAATGTTAAATCATGGAAACCTAAATGCATAAACTTAAATTTGCATTGAATTGAAATGGACAAGGAATCGAAAATACAGAAACATAAGACTGCTGAATTTAAGTTGCATCAAAGTCAATTACCAAGGAAAATACAGAAAGCGGTAAATGTACTCAGTGAGCAAGGAAATCCAGATTGCCAGAAGCTTCATGGTGTTCGTCGTTTCTCCGGTAGACTTTTCACTACTGATTCTGTTCTCTGCCAATTTTTGCTCCCTCAGTTCCTTCCTCCTTTGCTCTATTTATAGGGCATCCTTCAAGCCTTCCGAGAGCAGTTAACGCGACTGCTACCACGTTCTACGTGCGTGTGGCAGTTTATCTTCTATAGTTTCCCACGTTCTCACGATCTCCGACTTTTTCCCATGATTTCAAAACTGCTCTTTATACGTGCATTCGACTTACTTCCTTTCACAATTTGGCCAAAGTCTCGATGTCCTCATTGGCTTTCTTTACTCTTGATTCCGTATTTTTCGAGAACTTCGAATTGCTTACGATTCCTTTTTAACCCTGGTCTTATATGACTTAGTTTTTATTCGACAACAGATCATTTGATTATAATTCATTCGATTCTCGATTTGCCACTAACACAACCCGAGTATTTTATTCAAAAAAATATTTATTTTATCTTATTTTAATTCAAATATTTTAAACTTATTAGAACAAATAATTTTTAAAAAAACAAATGTTTATCAAATACATTTAGTTAAGAAAAAAAAAGTTTGAGCTTGATGTTTTCGCTCGTTTAAAATTAAAATGGACCGAATAATTTTCTGTGGGCCTATTTTCTTTTGTCTATAGTATTAATGTAATTATACCTACAAAAGCAATAAGTTGAATTAATTTTTTTAAAGTCAAGTTTATTTCTTTAATTCCTTTAAAATAAAATAAAAATTAGGTCAACAATCTAATTTATTTCATAACTAAAATTAATCTATAAAATTTCTTGTATAAAGTTTTGTTCTAAATTTTGATATTTTATTTGTGTACAAACTAACTTTAATTTATAGATAAATTTTCTTCATATTTTTTCTTAATCCTAATCCTTGGATCAACATATACAATTGAATTATTCTTTTGTGCTAGTCTTATCCGAATCCTATTCCCTCTCGAATACATTGTACCTTATCTTACATTTGGCACAAACAAAAACGTTCCACACAACATTATACCCTGCAACAACAATATTATAATAATCATTAACTAGTTCTAAATTCTTAACGTCGTTTTTGCAATTAAATCATATTATTGACCAATATATATTTTATGAAGTCATCATCAAGTAAGGATTAAAATTAATTAATAACTATTATATGACGCATTATATGCTCTAATTAATTGTCCTAATTTGTTAGTATAGGTTTATAGTCTAGAAAATCAGAACGTAGAGAACCCTATAATAAATTTTTTATATTGAAATATCGTATCATTATAAAAAATTAAAATTCAATTAATTTTTAAATTTTTTATCATATTTATAGAGATAAAATAGCTAATATAAATTTTAAAATAAATAATTAACAAGTGTGAAGATCGAAAACGTAAACTAAATACTCCTTATTTAATTGTCAAAGTAGTTACGTAAGTACAAGTTCAACCACCATTCTTTTGGTCCTCTTTGTCGTTTTGAATTTATACTCTTATTAATAATTAATAATTAATAAATGGAAAATAATATATCAAACACTTCATCTCAAGTACTAAATAATACTTAATATGCAAAACATCTATAACATATTTTTTATCACGGTATCTAACATTGTGAGAGAATATTTCACGAAACATTGGTGATGCCATGCCTTTAATATATATATATATATATATATATATATATATATATATATATATATATATATATAGCTTCCCTCTGCAACTTATCTTCATACACAATGTTAGGCACCGTAAATTTGCCCAACTTATCAATCAAAGCTTTTGCTATTGCTGCGGGGGAAGCACACACTCTTCTTCTTGCTGGTCATTACTAACTATTTAGTCCATGAATCACACAAACGTTATCATACCTTCGTTTCTGTGACAGTATGATTTTGGTGTGCAGGAGATGGACGTGTTTATTCTTGGGGAAGAGGAATACTGGGGCGGCTTGGCAGAGGTTCTCAACACGACGACCATCTTCCCCTTCAAGTCAGGTTTGGATCAGAAGAATACAACGTCAGAATAGTGGCAATTGCTGCTGGTGCTTATCATAGTCTTGCTCTTGCAGGTTCTATCACTTTTACTTTAATTATATATATATATATATATATATATATATATATATATATATATTTTATTTTTTTTTTTATTGGAAAGTATGAGTGTAACCTGTTCATCTTATTAGGTTTAAATGATGGATAATAGTTAAGGTTGCTATTCCGGAAGTTTTCATATTTCTACTATAAAAACTACTAACCGATAACACAAACAAACATTTTTGTATAATCATTGTTGTTAAAGAATTATCTGTGGTGTATTATATAAGTTTCTTAAAATATAACAAAAAATTATCAGATTTCTTGAGAACTCAAAAACAATTCTTAAAGAGTTAATGACTCAAGTTTAGAGAAATGAGAAGGAAGAGAAGATGAGAGTTATATTTTTTGAGGAGAAAAAATGTTCTATTTATAACAGAGATAAATCAATGGATAAGTTCACTATCTCATAACTTAGGATATCCACTTGCCTGGAATCAAGAACCACGTAAGGAGGAATGTTGTAAGTCTACAATGTTTAAAAAATCCACCCAAAATGTAAGGGAAATCAAGCAAGAGAGGACTCAATTCTTTTGTTATATTTTGTTTTTCTAACAATCTCCCATATATTGCAAAAAATATTATAAAAAAAATAAAAATGAGAGAGTATTGGGTCTCATATAAGATGTAAAACATTAGAGTTAGTGTAACAAATTATATGAACCAATATTAGATTAAGAAACTTAACACATAGTATAATTGGTATAACAAGTTATATGAACCAAAGACACTTAGTGTGTTATCGGTTTATCAATCACAATATACCCCCATAATTCTTGTTGTGTTGTGCTTACTAAGCCATCTGTCTAGTATTCATAAGTGTTCTAAAAATCTTACAAAGATATCATACAAGTGACTCCACTCAATACTCATAAAGGTGATTTTATTAAGTGTATAATGCAAATCATAAACCACATGTAAAGGATATGAAATTATTAAAAATTTTATTTAGGTTAAAATTCGTACACCACATAGAATTTTAATTACAAAGTTTAACCTCTCAAAGATGCAATATCTAGTACTTTCACACATTATAGGAATGGACATAATTGATTTTAATAAATTTTAGTGCTAGTAGAACTAACAAGTCACTTGTTTTTATCATATGAACATTATTCATAAGATCTCCAATCACAAAGGTTGGGTTACCATCACTTATTTGTTTGCAAGTGGCTTGAGTCTCAGTCACTTCAATGTTTCTAAAATCATATTTCTCCCTAGGGTTTCATCAGAGGATATGCTAGATTCCAACTTCACATAGTCAAATAGAAATTGTTCCACTCTTTAGTAGTTGCTTCACCAAATTGTGTCTCAATTGTATTTGTCTATTCTTTATATTGTAATTCTTGTTTTTAGCTATAGCTATTGTCGATTGACAATCACAGTATATTGACACAGAAATGGTTGGTTTCATCCCTAACGGAATATTTACTAAGAAGTTTTTCAACCACCCAACTTCACTACCAGCCATTTCAAGAGCAACAAACTCTGATTTCATTGTTGATTTTCAATAATTGTTTGCTTGACTGATCTTCATGTAATTGCACCACCCCCAAGTGTAAATACATAACTACTAGTGAATTTTATCTCATCTGAATCAAAGATCAGTTAGCATCATTGTATCATTCTAATATAACAGGAAATCCACTCACTAGTGCAAATAAAGCTTTCAACGTCGGTTCTGGAAGGCTTTCAACGTCGGTTTAATAACCGACGTTGTATCAGGCGACGTTGAAAGTCGTAACTTTTAACGTCGGGTCTAATAAACCGACGTTAAAGTTTTTACTTTAGATAGCGGTTATAAAGGAACCGTTATCTAATATAGACTTTAGATAGCGGTTGTAAGGGAACCGCTATCTAATATAGACTTTAGATAGCGGTTATAAGGGAACCGCTATCTAATATAGACTTTAGATAGCGGTTATAAGGGAACCGCTATCTAATATACAGATCATAAGTCTACTTTCAACGTCGGTTTATTAGAACCGACGTTGAAAGTATGATTTTTTAAATTAATAATTTTTATTTATTTACAACCCCTTTACCCCCTTTTATTTATCTAGAAGTCTCCCCTCTCTTCATATTATATTTTTATTAGGTCCTCCATCTCTTTATATTATATTTTTTAGAAGTTTTTTAATCTTTATATTATATTTTTTAGAAGTTTTTTAATTTTTAAGAGAATTGTCATTGGCAGGATTCGAACCCAAGTACTTTAGAGTTGGAGGTCGATACTCCAACCACTAAACTACTTGAATTTTTTGATAATAACTTACAAATAAATTATATTTATATACAAATAAATATATATCCGTGTAATTATCACTACTAGAAAAATGTCAAATAGTAACTTCGAATCTCAACCCCAGCCTCAACCTCGACGAACTCGAGGCCGAACCCCAACTCGGCGACATCGAACCCCAATGTCAAGCCAAACCCAATTGTCATGCTCGTGAAACCCAACGCAAACCCAGCGGAGCTCGAACCCTAACGCATACCCTAGTGACGTCGAACTCTAACCTCGAGCCAACCCCCACTTTAATTCGGTCGCAATTAGCGATTGATTGATTGCTCAAGGATGTGTAAAAGATGATATATTCAATGTATGTTAAAAAAGTTCAAGCCAAACTGTTTTTATAGAAGATTTTCAAAACTGCTGGTTTAATTAATCTGTTAAAAGATTCTTTTAATCTGTTAAAAGTGCAGTTTTAATCTGTTAAAACTTCTTTTAATCCATTAATACGTTCTTGATTCTTTAACAGATTTGTTTTAACTGATACGACAACGTTTATATCAATTAAAACACTTTACAAAAAATCTTCTAAGTTGATTTAATCGATTGTTTCGCGATTCAATCGATTGAAATATCTGCAAAACTTTCGCGTGACACTTTTCAAGTAATTTTAACTGATAAAAATAAGTTTTAATTGATTAAAACGCTGTGCGTAAATTGTTTTAATCGATTGAAACGAGATTTAATCGATTAAAATAGTTCTGATCGGTCATAATCGCATTCTGATCGATCATAATTGAAACAATATAATAGCGGTTCCAGGTTAACCGCTATCTAAAACGTATCTCGCTTGAGCGACACCCTTCTCGCTCGAGCGAAACGCCCCCTGCACAAAATTAGCATTCTCGGGTTGTATTTCGCTTGAGCGACACTACCCTCGCTCGAGCGAAATTAGATTCTGATCGATCATAACTTGAAATGATCGATCATAATTGAGAGGATATAATAGCGGTTCCCTTATAACCGCTATCTAAAGTGTATATTAGATAGCGGTTATAAGGGAACCGCTATCTAAAGTGCATATTAGATAGCGGTTCCCTTATAACCGCTATCAATAAGTAAAAAATAAAATAAAAAAAGACTTTCAACGTCGGTTCATATGGGAACCGACGTAGAAAGTACTTTCTACGTCGTTTGACTAAGAACCGACGTAGAATGTGACCAACATTCAACTTTCAACGTCGTTTTTTAACCAACCGACGTTGAAAGTGTATTTAACGTCGGCTCAGCTTGAACCGACGTTAAATGGCGACGTTGAAAGCATATTTTGTAGTAGTGACTATATTTAATGGCATAATCCATTGAATCTCTTAAACATCTCATAAGCCTTACAAGTGCATCCTAATGCTCCTGATGAGAACATCTACTTATTGCATGAACAAAAAAAAGCCTAGAAAAACTCATTAAATGTAGTAAGCTCTCAATTATTTGAGCATACTGAGGTTGAAAAATAGAATCTCCTATATTTTTCTTTAACTTAGAGTTAGCATTATAAGGGGTACTCACTTATTTAAAGTCATAATACCCAAATTCCTAAGAAGTTTCTCAATGTATTGTTCTTGGGATAGACAAATAATATCTCCATTCCTTATGATTCTAACTCTCAAAATCACATTGCTTTCACCCATGTCTTTCATTTCAAATTTAAATCCTAAAAACAACTTAGTTATAGAGACTTTGTTAATGCATGTATCAAATATTAGTATGTCATTTACATATAAACATTTAATGACACATTCACCACTTTTAAATTTAGAGTACATACATTTATTAGCATCATTTGTTGAAAAGTCATCACAAGGTAGAACACTATCAAGTTTTTCATACCACTATTTTGGTGCCTATTTTAATTCATACAAAAATTTTTAAAGTTTGCACACTTTGTTCTCCTGACTAGGAATAACACATCCTTCAGGTTGAGTCATATAAATCTTCTCTTTTAATTCACAATTCAAAAATGTTGTTTAACATCCATTTGGTATATAACTAGCTTATCAATATCTGTTAAAGCTAACAAAACTCGAACAGAGGAAATCTTATTCACAAGGGCAAAAGTATCACAATAATCAATGTTGTGTTTTTGAGTAAAACTCATTACTACTAATCTTGTTTTATATTTATCTATAAATCCATCATGCTGATACTTTTTCTTAAAGATCCATTTATAATCAATGGTTTTTGCTCCCTTAGGCAAATCTATTAAGATCCAAGTATTATTTTTCTTGATTGAGTCAATTTCAGGTGTTAATGACCTTATCCCAATGTGTTTTATCAAGAGCACTAGTACCCTCTAAAAAACTCATTAGATAATTTTCAACTAGATAAGTGTAAAAATTATTTCTAAAGGAGGTTTCCTTTCTATGTCTTTTACTTCTCTTCAAATTCTCATTCATTTCATCACTATTAATATCTATAGGTTGTTTAGATGTCTCACTAACCTTTAAAGGGAAAATATATTCAAAGAACTTAACATTTTTTGTCTCCATTATAGTATTATGTTCAATTACATCACTTTTAAGGATAAAAAACCTATAGGTAGTACTATATTTCGCATAGCCTAATAAGAACATACAATCAGAAGTTTTAGAGTCTATTTTTCTTTTCTTAGGATCAGGTAACATTACCCTAGGTAGGCACCCCAAACTCTTAGGTATTTAACATTAGGTTGATAACCTCTCCATAACTCATAGGAAGTTTCACCAGTTTTCTTATGTGCTATCTTATGTTGTAAGTAGGGCTTCTTCTCAAAGGTTATTAGGTGCACTAGAACTATTAAATATGTCCTTCATCATTTCTTTAAGAGTTCTATTTTTTTTTTCTCAACTACTCCATTACACTAAGGTGAATATGGTGGGGTCACTTCGTGAACAATACATTCTTTAACACAATAATCATTAAACAATACATATTCACCACCTTAGTATGATATAATCCTCTTAATTTTTGTGTTTAATTAATTTTCTACTTCCACTTTGTAAGCTAAGAATATGTCAAAAACTTCATCCTTGTGTTTGATTAAGTATATTTTCGTGTATCTAGAATAGTCATCTATAAATCTTACAAAATAATTTTTACCAACTCTTGACATTCAGTTTGACGTTCTATAGATTGACAATTTTTCTTGGTTATTTTATATTCTACGCATATATCACATTTCTTATTTTGTATATCATGTATATTAATTAATCATAATTGTTGCAATTTCATAACATACAAAGAATTCACGTGTCCTAGTCTCGCATGCCACATATCATATGAATAAACAATATAAGCAGTAAGAACTTGATTTATTAGCAACTTCAAAAATGTTAAATACAAAAAGATTTTGATCACAATATCCCTTCCCCACAGTAGAAACTCTCTAGATTTTTCACCCAACTCGGAATAAGCAAAAAAACTCTTAAAGAATTAATGACTGAGATTGATCCATGAATAAACCTACTATCTCATAACTTGCACATGCCCACTTACCTAGAATCAAGAACCACATAAGGAGAAAGGTTACAAGTCTATAACGTTAAAAAAAAAAAAAAAAAAAAAAAAAAAAAAAAACCCACCAAATATGCAAAGGAAATCAAGCAAAAGAGGCATATTATTCTTTTGTTATATTTTGATTTTCCAACAATTTTATTATGTCATGCAAGTTATGGGTATAATCTGAGTTGATTATATAAGTTACAGCATGCTAAACAACTTATTTGACAAAATATTTTTTTTATTATATAATAATAATAATATTTATTATTATATTATTATAACAGATTATTTATTAGATTTATTTTTACCAAAATAATTGTCTATATATTTTTTATAATTTGCAAATTACTTATCTGGTTCTCGATACAACACAATTTGAATTAACTTCCTTTCTCTAGGTGATTTCATGAGACCTTCAAATAAATTTCATTTTCCTCATGTTACATAATTTTAAAGATTTTTTTTTTGTTTTTATAATGTTTTATCTTAATAACAAGGTTTTATACCGCCCATACGTTCATAACCTTTTTGTTTATATTTTAATTTTGTACGACTTAAAAAATTAATTTAACTATTGTAATGAAATATTAATTTAATGTGATTATAATTACATGGACATAAAATAATATATAATTATACAAAAAATATTATAATCAAGCAAAAAAATATATTAAAAATAAATTAATTTTAATTTAATATTTTAAACATGAAAAAAATATTTTATGGGGATGAATGGGTATCTAATGCAAACTTAGGGCTATACCATAAAATGGAATTTAGAGGTTCTTTCCCCCTATCTAATCTAATCGATCATACTTCTTGTTGTGTTTTGACAGATGATGGATCTGTTTGGTGCTGGGGCTACAATATATGTATCCTTAATATGCTTAAGGTCCTTTGGTGAAATTAAATTGCAGAAATTCTTTGTTCAGTTGTGCTTTGCTATACTAATTAACTGATTTATATTGTTTATCAATGTCCTTGACTATTATATGGATGGTCAACTTGGTATCAATGGAGAGGACTTCCCTAGCAAAAAAGATAGCGATGGTGATTATTCTGTAGTGCCCTGCTTATTGAATAAGTTTCTCGACTTGCACCCTCCTGTTTCTTCATCAACATCAACTGCTCCAGAAGCAGAAGACAAAGCATCATTAAAGGTAAAATGTGAAGAGTGGTGATACACAAACCACTCTTTTTAATCAAACACCCCAACAACATCCACACTTTGAGGCTATACTAGGTGTCCATTTATCTTTTTCCAAATAATATGAATTGCCCTTTTGCATTTAGTTCTAAACAAAAGCAAGTCAAGGTGTGTGTCTCACTAGTTATGTGTTTTAAACTTTTTCACAGATAGTTGCTGTCAAAGCAGGAGGAATGATGTCTCTGTGTATTGATAATCTTGGTGCCCTCTGGATGTGGGGAAATTGTCCTGGACAAAGCCATGAAGGTGACGTCTCTTTCATAAGCAACTTCACTCCAACACCAGTATGGGATTTTCATGGTCACACTGTAGTTCAAGTAGCATGTGGAAATGAACATGTTGTGGCACTTGTTACTGCTGGAGAATCATACACGGGTGTGGATGATCTAGTGTGCTATTCTTGGGGTAACAACAGTCATGGTCAATTGGGCTTGGGGGATAAGGAGAATAGGCCACGACCTGAAGTGGTGAAAACATTTGATCTGGAGTCCCCTTGGGTAATTTATGAGGTAGCATGTGGTGCCTTTCACACTGCTTTTCTCACTCGCAAGAAGAGGCCTAACACATTAGAAAGCACATGCTGGACATTTGGCCTTGGGGATAATGGACAACTTGGACATGGGACAACACAAAGTACATTACTTCCTGAACCTGTTAAAGAATTGCCACAAAATGTGCTTCTTGTTTCTGTTGACTGTGGCTTGTTTCATACTTGTGTTGTTTCCTCTGATGGGTACGTGTGGTCATGGGGAATGGAGAAGGGTCTTGGCTTATGTCCTGATGATAGTAATGATGGAACACATTCTGGTGATGCTCTTTCTCCCCTTCTTATCTCATGCAATCCATATCAGCCTCAATTTCCAGAACCAGTTCAAGTTGCATGTGGAGCTGCACATACTGTTATTGTTGCGCAAGAGGGATATAAGCTCTGGTCTTGGGGTAGAGGAAGGAGTGGGGTTCTTGGAAATGGTAAGACTACAGATAGCTACACTCCCACCATTGTGCTATGGCCTCCACTGATGCAAGATTTCAAACAAGATGAATTTCATAGCTCTCATAATACAAAGGAGACTGAAAGAGTGACAGAGACAGATGACAGATTATCTTCAGCATTGAACGAAATGAAGCTGCTTCAAACAAAGCTATCCACAATGGAGAGATATGCTAGTATACTTCATGGTTCTATCTTTGGAGAACCTTTTGATGAGCAAGATATTCCTGCTTCATTGCAAAATTCAGGTGCATTTAACATTTCAAAGGAATGGGAGAACATTTTAGAGGCAGCAGATCGTACAAAGCTAAGTAAGTTGGAAATACTCTACCGAAACATGCTTGCTGTTGTGAAGGATAAACTAATGAAAAGAAGGATCAAGGAGATTATAAATGACTGCCTACCATCTTCACAGGTTGAGAATTAGCAGATACAAAGTAAATCATTCTACCAAATTAATGTTTCTGGCTTTTCTTTTTGTATCCATGGCAATTTTTTCGTAACCCTCTCTTCTGTGATTGAGTTCTGTACAGAATTGAGCACCAATTTCCCTCATTTTTTTATGCCATAAAAGTTTAGTGTGCTATATTCAAGAGTTGTTGTATCCATCCTCTTGTTGCAGCATGACTTGTTCCTTACTCTCCTTTGTCAATTGAAGCTATGCTCGGTTGTTATTTTATGAGTTGTACATGTTTTTAAGAAAAATGTTAAGGATAGCACTTAGAAGCATAACTAAAGGATGTAATCTACATAATGTTTTATTAGAAAAGAAAATATTTGTTGAAGTTTTAGTAAACGACTAATTTAATTCATGAAATTGTCACTTGCTATCGTGTTAGTATCTCGAATTAACAACATTAAAATCAAAAGTTCATGAAACTATAATTCATCCATCATGCAAGTGTCAAGTTTGTTTTCTTTACCTCCTCAAGGTCATTATAAACTCAAAATGCAAAACAATGTGTTTAATTTATGAAACTATTTCTCTCTTTGATATAGAGTAAATTGAAAACTAAGTTCGTGATGAGGTTTCAAAATTAGATGCTATTGAGAAGGCAAATTATAACCTTTGCAAACACACTCCATAATTGTTACCTTCAAAGTCATGGAAAATCATGAAAACGTGAAACATATTTATTGCGTTGATAAAAATAATATATCTTGAAAAATCCCACATTATCTAGGATAAACAATGAAGTAAGTGATAGTAGTTATATAATGTACTTAAAGTTCATGATGTTTTGACACTCCAATAAAAAACACTTCAAACTTGTATTTGACTTTTTCTTATATTATGTAGTAGAGTATTGTGAGGTTTGATTTAAATCTTTGCTTTGGAGAGTGTAAGTGTATTTGGGGTCAAAGGAGATCAAAGAGTAATTTATGTGTTGTAAAAAATTTTACATAGAGTTTTTCTCTAGTTATAATTAAATAACGGTCGTGATTTTTTTTTTGGCTTTAGAATTTTTACGTTATATTATTGTGCTTATTGTTTTTATCTTATTTATCTATTAGTAGAATAATTTTTGGGATAATGATGTTGATTTTTTTATTATGTTTTTTCCCCATTAGAGTGATATAAGAGTTTATGGTTCAATAGGATATTCTTAGTATACTTTATGGTTGCAACTTAGTAAAATATTTCATACCAAAAAAGATTAATTTCTTATTGTTACACTATCAGAAAATTAGGTTTTACCGACAGATATATTCCATTGGTAATGAAAATAATTCGTTGATAAAATAATTCTTTTTTATGGTAAAATTCATCGGTAAAAAGATCGTCGCAAAAAATTATCGATGATATTTATCCATTATTTGTCTACCGATGGATATATCCATTGATAATTATCGAGGGATGGATCTGTTGATACTTATTGACGAAAATGTGCATCTCTACATCTATTTACCGACAGATATTTCACCAATAATTATCGACGGATGCTTCACTTGATAATTAACTACGAATATATCTGTCGATAGTACCATGGAAAATTTGATAAACTTACTGACGTAATAACCTAACTACAACCACAATTATTCTATTTTTCTGGTTGCCAACAGAACCTACAAAAATATAACCAATACATTGCAACAACTATTTTCCATCATAGTGTCTACTTAAATCAAGCAAACAATGTTCAATTGGTTAAGAAATAACTTAATAGGGATAAATTCAAATATTAGTTAAGTTGGGAAACACAATGAATCCAAACATAATGTGCTTAACAAGATATCTAGTGTAATAATAATGAACAACTAATAATTTGAATAGTCTGGAAATAAATGTGATTGTTGTAGATTGTCCTCTTGTTGATCATCATCATTTGGTGATTCTTGGTTTGTCATCGTCTTGTTGGGAGGCACATTGTTGTTGTTGGGGAGCATCTTCTTATAGTTGGGGAGCATGTTATTAATTATGTTGGAGCATCTAGTGTTGTTGAATAATAGTTTGAGCATCAAGAAGGAGGAACTGCATAATTGTACCAAATAATGACTGAAATGACTCAAATTGACAAGTCAATCTCTCATTTATCTCCCTTGTGAGTTCAATTTCCTCCACATTTATAGAAAGTCGTTGTTTGAGTTGGATCATGTCTTCATATTCATATGAGGAACTAGATGCTTGCTTCAAACTATCATTCTCACCTTTGTAACTTTGAGCAAGTTGTCTAGCTCCATAAAGTCAATCTTTACTTTTTTCACCAACTGCTTCGACCCAACATCGAGTCTTGATAATCTCGTATTGTGCAGGGGTCTACAATAGTTTTGTCTTCTACTTGATTAACACAAGATCCAACCTCGGATAACCTATGAAAGTCTAGACTCAAATTCCTCCTATTATATATAAAGAGAGGAATTAAACTATTAAATTAGATGGTAATTTGAAAAGTAATGTTAACATTAAAAGACACTTTGTGTTTGACTTTTTCTTATATTTTTGTTATCAAGTATTGTAAGATTTGATTTAAATTCTTGCTTTGGAGAGTGAGTGTATTTGAGTTAAAAGACATGAGAGAATAGTCTATGCGTTATAACTTTTTTTATATAGTATTATTCTTTGGTTATCATTAAATAACTGTCGTGATTTTTTATCTAATTTTAAAATTTTCAAGTTATATTTTTGTGTTTATTATTTTTATCTTATTTCTCTGTTATTTTTTAAAAACTTTTTAACCTTTGACTAATATTTTAGTCTAAAAATTAGCTTTTAAAAAATAGCTTTTTAGGAAGAAATATAAGCTCAAAAAGGATTTTTATGATTTATGATATTGCTTTTGCAGTTTTGGTGAATATTTTCCATGTAATTTGGATAATAAGAAATAACTTGTGATTTAGAGATGCGACTTTTTTTTTTCCAAACAGATAAAACAACCATGATTTTTCGGTTTCTTTATTAATGAAAGATCTTACTAAGACTTGCTTATTTAGTGTAGATATTAATAACATTTTTATATATTTTTCTGATTGCCATAATTATGTTTATGGTTTGAAAAATGTTAAGATTATTATTTTTTAAAAATATATCATTATGTAAATGAGATTCCTTATTTTTTTTTAATTCTTTTGGTGTCATAAATAATAAAATAATAGTTTCTATATTATTATATAAATGAAAAAAAAATATGATATCATGTACTTAGAAAAAAGAAAAGAAAAAAAAAGTGTCATAAAAAAAATAGTATAGTATTTGTAAAAAAATGGAGAGAAAATGTAATACACATGAAATAAACATAATAATAATAATATAAAAATATGAACACATAAATACTAAAATATTTGTATTTTCACTCATTATTATGTGATTAATTAGTGTATTTTCACTCCTAATATTGATTTTATAAATGTTCTTACACAAGTTATCATTATTAGGACTTCCAAAGTATAGTAAAATATTTTTATGATGTTAAGATAACAAGTATCTCCTTATATGAAAAATTGATCAAATCCTTAAAAAGAAAGTTACTCATAAATAAGACTCACATGGAGCAAAAGGATTACACAAATTGATATGATGATTTTTCTCTTATTTTTTTTATCATATATGCCACAACAAGCTTACATTAGAAATCACCATTCCATTTTTTTTAAATCAATTCCAAAATCTCAAACTTTTTTTTTCTTCTCTTTAATTCACACTCAACGATATATACAAAGAGAAACTAAATGTGATACACGCAATTTTTTATTTTTTTTAATTTTATACATATTTTTAATGTTAAGAATTTATAAATATTTGTTTTCTTTTAATTTTTAGCATCATAAAAATATGACAGTATATATATATTTTTATATTACTCATTTCATTTTTAATTATAATATTTTTGTTTGTAATATTAGTATATATATCTTTATGATATTATTTATTTTTGTTTTATTAAATATTCAACCAATAATTTGATCAATTCAATAACCCATCAAAATTAAAAATATATTGATAGAATAGCATTCAAAACCAGATTAAAATATGTTAGGTATTATAAAGTTGTAAATTATAAAGATACAATAACATCGTGTAATTATTTCCCGCCTAAACAATATTTTGTTTTGTGGCTTACCTTTTTTACTTGTATTTGCTTGCTTTTCCCTTAAACCCCCCAAACCCTAAAACACTCCCCCTATAGAAGATGCCGTCGGACACCGTCGGCAACGGGGCTCTGGTCCCCTTCTCCGGAGACCCGCCGGCGGTATACCCACTCCATCATGGCCTCGCCCCTCCGATTCGTCGCCTCTCCATTTCCTGGTCCCGCGGTAACTCCCTCCGCCTCTCCCTTTTCGCCGCCGCCGCTACCAAGGTTGTCGAAGTTAAGCTCACCGCTGAAGATCCAGAGATCTCCGACGCTCACTGGCGTCGAATTGCCTACGGCTCTGTTGCGCCCTTCGCGCTGCTCCAGAGTCGGAGGAGCTCTCTTTCCGCTCTCTTGAAGACTCCTTCTCCGTATCATTCGGATTGGTAATTCACCACATGTTTGAGTGCATGCTTGTTTAAATTCAATTTAGAAGAAACACTTGTTTTTTTTTTTAAAAATTTATTTTTTCCTGTGAAGTAAAATAGAAGTTGTAAATAAGCTGAAGGCACTCAAATTTTGTTCTGAATACCTTGTGGAAGATAGCTTTGTTTCTTCTAAGGACCAATGATAGTAATGTAGTTTATTAGATTCGTTCAATTCAGCGGTTTATTTGTCTTGGTTGTTAATAAGATTGAGAAATTGAAGGCACAGTTGTTTCTCTTTGTAACACTCAAGTTTACGTTTAATTGAGGCATTCTAGTGTTTCATGTAAGTATGTGCTGTATCAAATCTCAATGATGATCTCCAATTCTAATTTTTATTTTTCTACATTGCTTTGTGTGTGCGTTGGCAAAACTGATTTTTTTTTTGAAAAATTGGTTTTGAAGTGATGTGATTTATGTTTGGATGATTTTATTATTATAGAAGCAAGTTAGCTGTAAAACTCAGCATAAATGCTTTATCCAACACTAAAGTTACTTTAGCTTAGAATCAATTTGGGACACAGTCAATTCTTCAACGTGATACCAAACACCTGAAAATGTACTTAAAACCATGTTTACGGGATTTTGGAGAAACAAAACAAATACTTCATCTAATTTCTTGGGGTATCAACTCTAGTTTCGTTGGAAGTTGCTCACTTAATTTTATAGTTTTTCTGAATCGTGTTTTTGGTTAGGAGATTTTTGTAAGTGTGCTTGTTGACAGTAGGTTATTATGTTTGTTTTACTGTCAGGTGGGAGAATGTCCTTCAGTATAGCAAGGAGATAGGTTCTCTTCTTGGGGGGTCAAAGTTGCCCCCAAGTCCTATAATTGAGGACTCAAACACAATTGTAAAGGTGTTGTATTAGGTTTTAAACTGTTTTACTGTGTTTAGTTGAACTGAGACCTGCTTTGTGGGACTTACAATATTGAGAAGTCAATCACTTGCTTTTAAACACTTAATGTAGAGTGGTGAAGAGCCAACATCTATGAAAGCTGCGTGGGAGTTAATTGAAATATTTTATGTGGACAAGCAATCTCAAGCATGGCTACCTGAAAGGCTCGTTGATTGGTTAGCTGTAATAATCTAATTTTCTTGATGAGTTTTGTAAATGGCTGCATTTTATTTTGACACTGATCACTATGCTTATTTTAGTTTACTGTTGCATTTTATGACAGGATTATGACAGCCTATTTACAAGTACTTATGAGACAATTCATGGCAAGCTTGTGGATTTTCAGAAAGAATTAGTCAACATACAGGTCTGGCCATAGCTGATCTGATAAATAATAGTAATAAACATATTCTTTTTGTCTATTAAGTCAAAGTATTAGGAGTTTTTAAGTCTTAATTCAAGAATATTGGAATGAGTTAGTAGATATCTCATTTTCTTTTAGAGCCTCATTCCATATGGCATCAGGTTATCAGTTGAAATATGTTCTGTGTTGAATTGTTTTTCTCCAGACTTATGGTTATGACACTTTTAGCTTTGCTTCACTTGATGGTATATTTAATGGTTTGCACCATTGCGTGGGAGACTCCTCTTATGATTTGTGTTTTCTAGACCATTGTTATTGAAAAACAGCCATTATGGAAATCAGAAGCAGAATTTTCGTCATGGTGACTGCTTTGGCTGTTGCGAAATGGGCCTGTGTAATGGTCGTGGCGAAAATTTTGATTTAAGGCTGTTCACTTAAGTTGTGCAATAGTGCCTCTGCAATAAATCATAATATCTTCTGCACGAAGAGAATGAGTCGGAAAATAGTAATTATGAGACCAGTAAAAGGAAGAAGTAGGCCGTCAGTTTGCAGCTTAATTAGACTTCTGCTTAGAACCTCTTCAGCTAAGCAAGAAGAGGGGACAGAAGATCCCACAAAACCATGGTTATTAAACAGTAGGGCCAACTTGTTGACTTGGATGAGATTACGAGTTTACTCACTAGCTACGAGTCCACTTGTTTGTAAACTCTTTTTTGTAGTAGACTTGGGTAAGATGGAGTAGACTCAAGTGGACGAGATGATGTCATTAGAGGATTGCAAACATAGAAACTTGAAGACATTTGTTCTTCTTTAGTTATTTAATTGTTATCACTTTAAGAACTTATGATTTGCGGTGTATGAACTGATTTATTTGGTGTAGTTTGAACTTATATACTAGTCATGCACTACTAAACTTAGTTACTTTAGTACTATGGAGTTATTGTTTACTATTTTGCTTAATTATGGTGTTAAATGTTGAGTCCACTAGTGGAGTTTACAGCGTTTCCACAAGTCTACATAAACTCTTGATTCTGATATTCATGAATAAAACCAACTGATGTTACCATTCACAGAAAAAGACAATTATGCATTTTTAAAATCAGCTTGGTCCAATTACCAAACTTCATATGGAAACTAAATTTTTCTAAAACCTTAAGCAGAAAATTCCAGTCCAAGGTATTATCAAAGGCTTTTGCAATGTCAATTCTGATTGCAATATTTCCTCCAATTTCTGTCCAGCAAATTTATGGCTTCTGATGCAACACCAATGAAATATTTGGTCTTCCTACCTTGTATAAGGCCCCTTTGCTATGGAGATATCAAATTTTAACTTAGCCAATCTTTTTGGCAGTACCTTGGATATAATCTTAAATTTGAGTTGTGCGCTCAAATGATATTAAGCTATTTCTCTAGTCTTTCTATTCCAAAAGAATATACTTCAACAAGTATATAATATTATTTATTACTCATCTCATCCCTCATGTAACTTATCATGTTTTTGTTTAGCTAATATATATAATCATTGTGTTTGATCAATTTCTTCAAGAATGAGAATTTTTTTTTTTACAAAATCTGTCTGTGCAGGTGATTGAGGATGATCCCAGATATTGGGACTTGTTGTCATCTGCACTCTCAGTTGGTTGGCTTGAAATTGTGGTTAGTAAGGCTACTGTATTTCTGACATTTTTCTTCAGGATATGATATTTCCTTTTAATCAAAGAATTTTATATTAAGCTGTTTTTCACTTGCAGGTGAAAATGCTGCGGTTGCATGGATCTTACCAATTAGATCAGCTCAGTAATCGGGAGGTTGGCATGACAATTATGAAATTGTTATTATTTGAAAGAGATGAATTTACACACTTTAGTTTTGGTAATTTTGTAGTCTGTATTTAACTTTTCTGGTAAAAAATCTGATTTTTATTATTGGCTCATGCATTGAATATTCAACTAGATTCGAATCTCTTTAATAGTTTGATCCTTTAGTGCTTGTACTGAATTTTGTCACTTAAAATCTCCAAGATTTACTTAGCCACTAAATATCCCCCTTCTCTTCATCAATAACGGATGACTATTCAATCTTTAGTGTTGCTGGCCTTGTATATACTATTATTAAAATGGAGTTTCTTATCTGATTATAATATACCCAAACTGAATATGCTTGTTAAAATATTAATTTTCTAGATGTTTCCTTTGTAGTAGCTGACCCATGATAATCTCTTAATGTCTCTTTTTTTCATAACAAAAGTTTCAAAACCTATAGCTTTGATCTCGATTTATTTCATTTTTATTTAGCTGAGGTGTGTAGCTCCAAAGATGCCTCATTCTAAAGCAGGAGAATTTGTATGCAAATTGAAAGTGCCATAGATATGGAGTCTTTAGGTTTGTTTTTGGTGTTCAGAACTGAATGAACTTGGATGATGTTTTGATAACCTCCATAGTCTTTCAAGATAATAGTAAGAGTCTGTTCATGGATTTTACTTCCTTGTTGTTGTAAAATGTTCCTGTTTTCATGCAGAGTTAATCTCCTCGAGTAACATTCTTTTAATAATTTATCTTAAATTGTGTATAGGGTTTGAAATAGGTCAGATGGTTTTTAAGGCGGCTATGGCTTAACCAATTTTTATCCACTTTACCTGAGCCTATTGGCTAGAAACAAATAAAGCCTAGGTTCCTACAAAGTCCTTTTAACTTTTAAGATTGGCATATATGCCTTTAAAGTTTCATATTTATTTTGCTTGGCTGCATGCCTGACCTTTTTATTTATTATTCATATATAAATTTGTTTATAGTATATAATCTATTAATTATATATTGAGATTTTATTGATACTCCATTAGGGGTATCGATATGGATTTTATTCCAAGAGCTAACTTGGCTCACCACGGGTTTGAGTCGGGCTATGTTCAATTTTTTTATTTTTACCAATAATAGGCTAAAAATGAATCCGGTTCACTTAACCCATGAGTTAAACGAGTTAGAGTCGGGCTATGATGTGTTGGCTCGTAACCCACCATTCATTTTAAATTTTAAAAATAATTATAATAATTTAATAATCCTAATTGATGTTATTTTGCCTTTTCACTTTTACTTTACGCTGCCGTTATAAGCCAAACCCTCAGTCAAGCTTGTCATTAGTTGTCCATTGCACTTGACTGCTTGTCATTAGTTGTCTATTGCACTTGGGCTGCTCGCCATCCGTCCACTGTGCTACTGTGCCATCATGTTTGTTATGCCACCGTACCATAGCATTTGCCATGCCATCATGTTTCAATCGTGCCACAACGTTTGTCATGTTTTAGTCGCGCCACAATGTTTGTCACATTTTAGTCGTGCCACAACGTTTGTCACGTTTCAGTCGTGTCATAGCTTTTGTTGTGCTATTGTGTCACTATATTTTAGTCTTGCAATTTAGTTATGCTTATTGAAAAAAATAAATTGAAGAATAAAAAAATAAATATGGGTTAGTGAGCCAATCCACCTAACCCACCAATCCATAATGGGTTGAGCCAGGTTGTGAAATTTCTGATTCGCCATAAAATGAGCCGAGTTGAGTTCATCTATTATCAGCTTAGTCCATGGTGAGCCAACTCGTGTGATCGAGTTGATTCACTTTGACACCCATGTACTCTATTCTTTTAGGAGGCCATTAGTAACATAAATAGTTGACAATATTTGACTTCATGTTAATTGAAAATAAATTCAAAAATAACTTGCTGGGTTTACATTTCAAGTGAGAAGCGAATATAAATATAACCTCTAATTGTTACCGACACCTATACCTAAAAGGAAGGGTAATGGAGAATATTTTGTTTAAGGTTCTGTGAAATACTTGACAATACAAGGTTTTGGACCTAATTGAAGCCGTTTATATAGGTTTATAGGCCAGACCTAAGCAAAGCCTAGCTTGTATTCACTGCTATTGCATTTTATTATATTAACATGACAATTTTATTTTTTCTGTAATGTTGTTTAAGTCATGTGATCTTTAGCAAACTAAGGTTACAAAATTTGTACTCTTCACCAGTATCATTGTGCTTTCCAAGCCCAGTTGAATGTGAAATCTAAAACTATTGCTGTTACTGTCTCTAAATTTCATGTTTTTTTCTCACTTTCTGTCATCCTTTGTTTGAACAGTTAGAAAATGGACTTGTAGAGGCTGTTGCTGTTCTTATTTCCAAAATGCCCCGCTTGTGTCCTGAATCTGTTGGAAAATTTGGCGAATTCTATAAATCCAAGCCCGACTTTATAAAGGTTTTTCCAGATTCCACTATATTTTAAGATGTACTATTACATTTTTCTTTCTGGCACATTTATATGGTTGTGTATTTCTATTTTATAGCCCTGGGAAAAATGGAGGTTGCAAATTACAAAACTGGATTGCAGTCCAATCTGGATTCAGTGTGATAATCAACAAACACGTGAGGGCCTGAGAAATTTGCTACAAATTATGCTGGGTAACACTGATAGTCTCTGCATGGCTACATGTTATTGGATTGAATTATATATTTCTCATTTTCTATACATCAGGCCATTTACAATGGTATGTTCAATCTACATATGCAACTATTAATTTTAAAATTTATATTTTCTGATACTGTTGGCTTAAATGGTTCCTTTCTTGTATTACCTGTTAATTAAGTGGACCTTAACACAATACTGTACACCCCCTTCTTTTGAAAACAGGGAATAGAAAGCATGTATAATTTGGCCCAGAAATGCATCCAGTTGAAACCACAATCTAATACCCATAGGTTGGCAAGACTTATGATTGGGATTCTTGAAGAAAATACTGAGGTGATTATTGTTTTATTATCCATTCTCCTTTATCTTTTTTGAAGATATGGACTTGCTGTTGCTGCATATTGTTCCCCGTTATTATGTTATTTATTCCATTCTTTATACATTTTAAACTTGAATTAGCATTTTCTATGTCTCAGGTTGTTTTAGCTGAGTGTTCCAGAGAATTTGGCCCTTGGTGAGATGCTTGCACTGCTATTGTTAACTCATTCTAGCTTTATTCATTGAATGCATGTTTTAATTAGGTTATTTTGCTTTCAAAATTTCCGTACTATCAAAACTCTAGACCAATTATACACTGAGTTTCTCATTTACTTTGGGTTGATGATAATGGGACTATGTATGTGCTATGTATCAATAAAATAGGTTGGTGGCACATGCCATAGAATTGTTGACTGCAGGGAGTGAGCAAGCAGAGATTCTTCTGCATGAGGAGCGGTATAACTTGGGGGGAATCAGCATAGTGGAACTACATCGGCTTGTATATGCTCAAATTCTATCCTCACATACATTGACCTGGCAAGTGAGTGCTATCTACTTCAGCAAAAGTATCATGTTAATCTGATGTCAAACTGGTGCATTATGTTTGATGAATCATGAATTACCTTAATGCCTTAATGCATATCAGAACTTGTTGTTGCACATAGATAGACGACTTGGATTTTGACATATGGTTGATTGATTGAGAGTAAGGATGAAATTGATGTGTCATAAAATAAATAGGATTTAGCATTACCAAGAGATCAAAACAGCGTATCCCAAAATGGAAGTTTTTTATCAGACTGCAGTTTGATAAACATGACAATGATATTTGTGCAAGTAATCTGTTTGCTGCTCTTATGTTGTAATGTTTTCATATCTGCAGATAGCTCCAATATATTTAACATCATGCATGAAGCAAGGAATGGGCTTGTTAGAGAATTTATTGTCTAGGCAATCTGTTCAACACAATAACGTGTTGCTTAAGGTAACTGTTTTAGCTTCTTACTGTTTGTTACTTCTGTTTCACGATTGTATTTACCCTGGTGGTTTAGTATATTGTTGATATAGTTCTGAGTGAAACACAAATAATTGTCACTCATGCAGAATATCGAGATATGCCGTTTGTATGAGCTCGATCATATTAGTTCAAACATCATGAAGGTATACTGCACTTTTGATTGTTGCCTGGCTTGGGTATTAGAAAACTTTCACTGTTCTTTCACAATATAGTGCACTGGAACTGACCTGCATAAGAAATATATAGATTGCTGGAGTATATCGTTGGAAGCATGGTCATAAGGGTGCTGGAGTATTCTGGCTTCAACAAGCGGAAGATGCAAGTTGTCTTGATAGGATTGCCCAACAGTTATTTGATTCTGTTGGGAAGTCAATATCTGATGAAAGCTTCAAGGTAGTTCTCATAATACTCCAATAAACAACATACTGATAGATTTTCATGTATATTAGTTTATTTCTATTTGTGAATTTTTGTTTTATTGATAGTTATTCAGATTTCTAATATTTCCATTCTCTTACAGCAATGGGAAGGCATGATTGAACTACTGGGTTCTGAATCTAAGCATGCTGGGGGTCTTGAATTTTTGCACAAGTATGAATGTGCTATTCGGAGCATTTTCTTGTTTTCTTGTCTTCATTTAATCCTATATTATTTTCTTTGTTCTTACATTCATTAAATATTATATAAATATCAGGTATAGGGATTTCAAGAAATCCCTTCAGAAGGTATCTGGTAGAAAATCAACTGATACAGCCAGACAAGCTGTAGGCTCCCTCATACTGGTATTGCTCACACTTCTGTGATTACTTTTGCTGCAGTAAGATTGTGTGTTGATTGTACAAACTAGTCTTTTTACTTGTTATTATATGATCTGGTTGGCTTCACCTTGTGATAAGTGCCCAACAGTTGGCAACCCTCAAAAGCTAGTTGTTAAGCGTGGATGACCAATGACTTGAATGCTCCATTAGGCACCCCATAATAACCAAGTCCCAGTCATAACACTGCCCTGAGATCTGACATCTCAATTGCTTTGCTTTCACACTACAACACTTCACTCAACTACTTCATTGGTCAGGACCCTTCACTGCTCATAATCCTTTGTAGGTAGCCCTTTTTTGAGTCACCAACAATCAACTGAGACCAATTGATAAAACTCTTTGTTTATTAACAGGGAATATTTCCTTATGAAAATGACACTCTCCAGGTATATCGAGAGGCTTGATCAACCCTAATTCTGAAAAGTTCCCTGCCACTATCCTGTTATACCCCTTTTCTAGAAGTAAATGATTTACAATTTATAATGGAAAACTACCCCTAAATGGGCCCATCCATCTGTGACCCTACTACTTCCTTCTATAATACACTTATTTTTAATCATGTGTAGGCTATCAAATAGTCTGTCCAAAGGTTTCACCTTATCTCTAGGGGAACTGAGTGGAAATTGTTTAGTTGCTGCAAACTGTTCCTACAAATCCTCCTCACAAGAAGGGAGATGTTCTCAACGAACTGGGACTTCTGCTCCCTGATCTCCATACCTAACAGCTAACACCTATGCTAGTTGGGTTGTAACTCCCATTCCTCTGTCTTGGTATTGTGCCACTGATGTGGCTGCCAACCTCTTCTTCAGTAAGCATAAATGGAAAACAGGATGGATGCCCACGTGGTCCAGTAACTCTACCATGATAGCGTGGTGAAAACTTCTCATTCCCCTTCCTAGCTAAAGATTTCTATGGTAAGGGTAGACCTAAAGATAAACCCAATGTGGAATTCTACTTCCTTTTTTTATTGTCTGTGTGACACTTCAGTCTTAATTGAGCTTAGTCCATATTTTGTTAAGTTGTTGAAGTATATTATCTCATTCATTTTGAATTCAAATAGCATCTTCTACCTTAAAGAAGAAAGTATCTCCTTTGAATAATACCATATGGTTGCGTCCATATAGAATTTGAAAAGGAGACATTTTTGCTGGACTATGGTAAGTTGTAAAACTCTGCCCAGGATAGCCAGTTAGGCCATTGTTTCAGGTTCCCCCTAAAAACATTGTAAATATGTTTCTAAGCACCTATTGACCACTTTGGTTTAGCCATCAGTTTGAGGGTGGTATGCTGTGCTGTACTTGAGTTTTGAGCCTGCCTGTTTGAACCCAAAAGTAACTAAGGAAGATCTGGTCTCTAACAGAGACAATAGTCCCTGGAAACCCATGTAGATTAACTACTACTTGGATAAAGGTGTGAGGCAGATTCTTAGCTGAAAAAGGGCTTTGCAAGGAGAAAAAATGCCGATATCATTTCCCTTCGCATGGGAAGGCAGATAGTGAAATCCATTGAAATGACCTGCTTGGGAATCAGTATTGGCGTTAAAAGGCTTGCAGGAGATCATTTTTCATATCTATTCCTTTGGAAAATGTCACAACTCAGGATAAAATCATGGATGTCCTTCTTCATACCTTAAATCCTGGATGGATGTCACATGTTCTGTTGAGAATTTCTCATCATGGGCCCATTGGAAAGATGTGTCCTTGCGCTATTAGTGGCAGAATTTTTGTACTGTTGGCCAGTTCCTACCCTATTTCTCGTAGTTGTTCTTTTGATCTCATGATTACTCTGGAAACTTAGATTAACTGAAATATGATTTTTATTATATCAATACAAAGAGATGATATAAGATATATACAGGAGACCTAAGCTATTTTAGGAAATATAATAACTCTATTTTATGCTAGGATCCCTTGATTTATGGGATTGTTTCTAATTATTCAAATCTGTACAGATTACAAGGAAATATACAAATTTCTTGATTTATTCTTTCCTAAATACTATTTGATTTCTCACACTCCCCCTCAAGCTGGTGAATAGATGTTTTCCATTCCCAGCTTGGATACAATCTTCTCAAAATTATGACAGCCCAGTCCCTTGGTAAGAATGTCTGCAATTTGGTCTTGAGAGGACACATGGGTCAAAAAGTACCCTTTGCCTGGTCCGGCAGGCTTCGTTGGAGGGGGTGTGTTGAAAGTCCCACATCGCCTACCTCATGTCATTTGGTATGGTTTAAATACATGTTAGGCTACTCCACATATTGCCAATTGGTTTTATGTTGGAACTTTAACAATTACTAATTTTTTTGATTCTGTACTTTACCCTGCTAACACCAACAATATTTCTTTTTGAAGTTCTTGTTACCCTCATGGCTGCTTGGACAGATTGAGGCTTGTGCAACCTTACTACTTTCCTTAGGACTATGAAGTCCCCCTAGGAATATGCTTAAGACAAAGGAATTGTCAATCATCTACCCCTTCCATTGAAATAATTTTTTCCTTCTGTGTTCCTGGGCTTCCTTCAATATGAAATATTGCTCACATTTGGCTACCCAAAGTTGATACCATTCCCATAAAAAGTTGGAAGGGAATTTTTGTGGTTACTACCCTTTACCTATGATGTTGACTCTCTTATTCATCTTCCCCCAATTGATGGGCCTGTGATTCTTGCTCTGAGCCACCTGCATTTTTCTTGGTCAGCAACTCTGTCATCATTTCTTTCAAAGACTCCATTCCCTTCCCCCAGCTCTTCAAACTGATTCTTGTTCAGTTGTTGACCCTCATAATGTTGGTGCTGAATCTCTTCCATTTTTGTTTCAATGTTCTCGTTTGACAGTATGATGTCCTCCACCAATTTCTGATAAAGAATGCGCAAACAATCTGCCACAACAGAAGCACAATTCACAGATCAAATGCTATTAAGGGGGGAGAGCCAAATACTTAAATACTCCATTGAGCATCCCATACTACTCAATGTTTGGGAATTAGGCACCCCCATAATACCTAAGTCCGTATTACCTTGTTATTTCTGTGATAATTAGACTAGTAAAATATAAAAGCCCGTTCCCCTGGTATATCATATTATCATAGTGGTGAATAAATGTTTTATACCCAAGATGATCAATTCCAAAAAAGCTAAAGCGGGATTTCTGTTCTATACCCAATGTATTGAGCACCACTGATGTATATTGTGTTTATAACCAAGATGATCAATTCCAAAAAAGCTATAGCGGGATTTCTGTTCATACCCAATATATTGAGCACCACTGATGTATATTGTGTTTATAACCAAGATGATCAATTCCAAAAAAGCTATAGCGGGATTTCTGTTTATACCCAATGTATTGAGCACCACTGATGTATGTTGTGTGTGGATCTCTCTCTTTCTCTCTCTCTCTCTCTCTCTCTCTCTTTATATATATATATATATATAGATATATAGAGAGAGAGAAGAGAGAAAAGGGATTCACTTCCTCCTAGAATAAGTGTTAAGTGTAAGGGAGTTACTCTTCATCCTTTTCATTCATTTTCTTATAATCTATGATTAAGTATCATTTTTTCAATATGTATTATATTCATTTACAAAATTATGATCAAGTTCTATCATTCAGCTTACTACTTCAAAATATAATACGTCTCTTTTCATCCTGCAGCTTATGAAAAATCCATCGACTCCTCAGCGCTTTTGGCTGCCTCTTCTGTATGACTCGGTGAGTTATTTTAGATTGTTCATTATATTGTGTTAAATATGTAAATTGTAACCTCTTAAGATACCTTTCGTCAATTTTTAAGGTTAATTAAGTTTTCGGTACCTTAAATGGATCGGTAATGTAATTGGTACCTTCAAAAATTTTTTTAGTGTGTTTGATATTCAACATTTAATAATATGGAAATTTGGTCCTCAATGTAATTTTAATAGTCTTAAATTAACAATGTTGACATATAATGGTCCTAGTCTTACATTTGGAGGTATGTTGACATGTGATACAGTCAAAATTTGTATGTGAACACCGTTAATTAAAAAGTAACAAAATATCTGAGGATCAAATTCACATATTTATTAAATGTAGGTATAAAAAATACTGAATTTTTTCAAGGTACTGATTTTACGTTGGTCCAATTTTGGAGGTACTAAAAACTTATTTAACCTTTTTGTAAATTATGCATTAAGTGGACCCAATGAAAAATCACTGCTGAGAAGACTGCAACAATAATAAAATTGATACTTTGAAATATATGTAGCTCATCCAGTTTTAACTATATAAGAAAACAAATGTACTTAAGTGTCAGAAGGCTCCTTGCAGCTGTGGGGAAAGGTTATTGTATGTAGCATATGCAAAGATACTATTTCAACTGTTTCTCACTAATTTTCCTTTGAAAAATGCCATTTGGCACATGCTTTAATTCTTTTGTGGTCTCTTAGCATATATTGTATACTTATTTTTTCTATTTATCTTTCTACCATAGTATCTTCTTATTTCCTCCTTTATAATGAGTCTTCTTGATTGATGCATTCACCTTTGGAATATAAAAAATCATTCCGCACTTGCTTTCTAGAGATTGAGTTATTTCGGTTAATTCAAACCTTGATCTTATTTGATTCTAAAGCATAGAATATATTAAGCTCTTGGCAGTTGGAAGTCAGAAATTTCTTACTAATTTGCAGTCATATATTTATTAATTACTTTTTTCATCGTTTTTGCCTATGTAGTTGATTCTCTATTGATTTTTGCATGTTATATTTGTATCCCATGTAAATTTTAGATGCCCAAATATGTTGAGCTCTATATTTTACTCATGCCTGTGTGATTGTATTTTTTTTTTTCCTACGGGAGCAGTTAAAGCTGCTTAATTGGAAGGATTGCCCTCTTTTAAGTGTCTCTGAGACTAATCTTCTGTTGAACAAACTTCAAGATTTATCTCTGGCGAAGCTGCGCCCTCACTATTCTGAGCCTAATTTACCCTCTGATGCACTGAGCTCTATTAGGCTGGCTCTAGCTACAAATCTTGGTCGAGCCATACTTGATGAATAGTCTTACCATTATATATATGTTAATGACGGAAGACTAACGACACCATTCAACCACAAAAAGCAAGTGGAAGAGGTTGTAAATTGCAAATTTCGAATGGTTGTCACTTGTAAATCTTTATGGACATAGCATAGTTCGGGCTTTAGTTGTATGCTTATTTTTCGTTTGATGAAATACAGCCAATATTTGAGCGGGAATTTAAACCCACATGTTTATCTTTTTAAGAATTAAAATCTTACTAAATCAGGGAGAGTTTGACCAGTTTTAACTTGTAACAATCCAGCGACCGGGAGCAATCAAGCGTCTACACTGGTATGTCAAGAATAACGTTTGAAATATAATAAAGAACACACTCGATATCATCTAATTAGAACAACCAATAATTTACTCATTAAAATAATGTTTTTGTTTAGTGAACATGAATCATAATTATTTTGGGTCTGCCTATTGAGCATGCAATTTGCACCTAATTTTTGCGTAAGAGCCTAATTTTATTATAAAAACTTAATAATTTTAGGGTTAATGTTAACATACAAAACCTTCAATAGATCTTTTTACAACACTAATAACACTATCTAAGGCTTGTTTTCTTTAGATACCCATACTTTTGTGATGATGCCTAAAACAATAATGCTAATTTCAAAATTTAAACCCTTTTGTAGTTTGGTCTTACACCTCCTATTATATATATATATATATATATATATATATATATATATATATATATATATATATATATATATATATATATATAACTTACCATTGATTTTATTATATTGAAAGTGTTTTTAATAAATTTTAAAGAATTCATTTTTTCTATAAATTTTTTTTTTAATATAAGTACTCTTAAGTCTCACTGAAGTTCCAAGAATACAAATTTCATAGGTTAAACATGCTTAATTTTTAGAAAATTTACAAATTTTTTATTGTCTTTGATAGTTTTTTTATGATTTTTTTTAGTTCTCCGAATATATAATTTTTTTTGCTAAATAATACTATCTGTATTCTATTTTTATCATTATTTTGACCTTTTTTATATGTATTAAAATATTCTTGGATTTATTTAACATTTTTATCATAACAATTTATGTATATTTTTATCTGGCAGCGATATATCACGTAAATACATGTAATATAATGATATAAAATAAATAAAAAAATTAAATTAAAAACAAAAATAAAGAAAAAAATATTAAAACCCATATACAACATTTATAATTTCTTTATGGATGAAAAATATTTAAAAGCCAATTACAAAATAGAAAAAGAGGAGAAGTACATCTGCTTAGACTTTCTTGATCAAGCGGGAAGTAGATATTTTGCGGGATCTTTACTCCTTTCTTAGTTGTAAGAATTAGCATCTTCCCCTTTTCCTTCTCTCTCTTTCTTCACCTTTTCACATTAATCATTCAAAGTCATGTCTTGTCCTTCCTTCCCCTAAGTTTTAGTGGTGGAAACTCATTTCAATATCTTCAAAGTATCACAACCATCTTTATACTTTTCAATCTTTCTAACTCTTATGTCCATTATAATATCCTACTCATGTACAAAAGTTGTAACTAATCATTAAATATTATTATTTCTTGGTGGTTTCGTGGGTAATTAACAATGAGTTGTTTTCCTCACAAGTTAACAAATTTATTCCAGCAATGGCAGATCTTATCATCTGCCATGCGTGGTTTTGAAGCTCATGAAAAAAATAATCCGAGTGGGCGATTCAGCGGGCTATGCGACATGAGGACCAAACAAAAGAAGCGTTGATGGGGTGGCAGAGGAAACACCCTCCATGTCCTTAGCTGATTCCTCTCTCACCACCACACACTCACTCACATAAAAACAAATCAATGTTTGAAGTGCCACTGTTTATGGCTTTACCGTTTACTTTGGGTCCCTTCCTTTTCTTTCATTTCCACTCATCATATCATATCATATTTCTCAAACGGATTCAATTTCAAAACAGATTTCATTTCCTCGCGACATTAATTCTTTCCAACATGCTCCACTCTTTGCTCTTCTTCCATGTCTCTCCCTGTGGGATTTTTTCATTCAAATAATTCATTTTCCACTGTCATCATTTTACAACTTATCATTTTTTTATATTCTTATAATAACAGTAACATGAATATATTTCCTTGTTTGACAGTTACAGAAGAAATAGGGTTTGAAACGTATATACTTTGCGTATAAATCACACATAGGTCATTTATTTATAATAAAGAGGTATAACTAAAAGAGTAATCAAAATTAAACCGAATAAGCAGAAGATATTGTTTGATATTTTGGTTAATAATATCTAACAATATCAAACTATATCTAAACAATATCTAAACAATATCTAACACTCCCCCTCAAGCTGGAGCATACCAATCGTATGTACTAAGCTTGTTACAAATATAATCAATTCTAGGCTCTCATAAAGACTTAGTGAAAATATCTGCTAACTGTTTACTTGAGTTAACAAACTCAGTCTTGATATTTCTAGACATAATCTTTTCTTGAATGAAATGACAGTCAATCTCAATGTGTTTGGTCTTTTCATGAAAGATAGAAATAAAACTAATATGAAGAGCAGTCTGATTAGTGTCATTTGAGTGATATCTCCAAATTGTAACTCTCTAAGCAATTGCTTGAGCCAAACAAGTTTACAGGCGGCCATAATTCTATATTATGTTTTTGCACTGGATCTTGCCACAACACTTTATTTCTTACTTTTCCATGAGATCAAGTTACCACCAATAGAGACACAATATCCAGATGTAGATCTTCTATCCGAAGGAGATCCTGCCCAATCAGCATCTGAGTAGCAAACAACTCTTGTATGGTTATTAGAACCCTATAACAATCATTTTCCAGGAGATCCTTTAATATACTTCAAGATACGAATGACTTTATTCCAATGATCTTCAGATGGTGGATTAAGAAATTGACTTAACACACTAATTGCAAAGGAAATGTCAGCACGAGTAAATGTAAGATAATTCAATTTTTTAATCAATCTTCTATACTACTCAGGATCAGATATATGTTTCCCCTGATTTGGTAGAAGTTTAGTATTGAACAGACTTTGAACTCATAATATCTATGACATACTTTCTCTGAAATATAACAATACCATTATTAAACCGTGCCACCTCAATACCAAACAAATATTTGAGTTTACCAAAATCTAAACAACCATATCTATACTAAGATGTCATTTATCACTATATCACACTTTGTCTTCATCTATAAAGACAAAACAGTAAAAATGTTAAAGAAAATACCATTTTTAAAATAATCTATCTCTAAAAAAGTCACAATTTTTATTTTTAATTGTTTTTTCATTAACAAAGAAGTTCTTTTCTTTTTATTATATTTCATCTCTGTATTTTTCCTTACACTTTCTCTCCTTAAAACCAAACATAGGTTTAACATGGAGTGTATTTTAGGTCTCTTGTCGACCAAAAATTGTGTGTATGTCCCACGTTGAATCCAATTTGTACTCTCAGTTGGTCTGACTTAGTACTTTCAAATCCTAGTTTCGGACTATATCCTACGCATCTCAACTATCTCAGTTATACATCATAACTTGGTGCATGTAATCCCGTTAAACGCCATGGATAAAAGCCCCTAAGGCAGATCCAAAACATGTACTTTTGAATTTGAATGCTTTGTTCAAGTATATCCCTAAACCCTACACAAATACTTTATTACTCCTCACCCTTTCTTTGTTCTGGACTCTGCATGCAGTCATCATGATGGAAAGACACCATTGTCAACGTCGCAAGAAATGGTAGCTGCCATGGAAATTGTTGAGGAGGTTTTGCATGTTCAGAAGGCCCTGTGCCTAGAACTGCCCTACAGGAGCAGACTACTAGTGGAAGAAGACTGAACGGGGAAACATCCACCTATAAATAGCATTCTTAAACCCTAGGTTATCATCATTCGTTCATAATAATGCTGACACGTACTTAGGCTTCTCACAATTAATGGTTTCTTATAATAATTTTCCAAACCCATTAATTATGAGTTCATCGACCAAAATTTATATTTGACCCATTCATCTGCTCAACATAATTTTACGCATCTTCGTCACTGACATAAGTTCAGACTTGGGTTGGGACGGTGGAACAATACCGCAGAGAGGTCAATGTATATCCCTATCACTGTCTGCGACAACTTGTCAATTCAGTTTGATGTAAAACTTTCTTCGTGTGGTCCCTAACACCATTCAACTCAATAAATTACAACATTCAAGTGTCCTTCCTCTTCTTCACTCACAGTAACAGGTAGAAAAACTCTTCGTTTTTATTATGATATTAGAATTTTTCTTAACAAAATTGGTTCGGATCAAACTTAGTTTCACATCAGTTAAAGATATGATCGATTTATAACATGTAATTAAGATATAAATTTCAGCTTACAGAGACATCTCAGCAATTCTAATAACTACAATTATCTCGTTGTCTCAATTGGGACAAATTAACAAAAGATTAAAGAGAAAGAATAGTGAGAAAGGCCAAAAAGGTGGTGCATTTTACATGTAGATGAATTAACATTGGACCTTAGAAAGAGAAGGATCATGCAACCTCAATAATGCAATGTGATTGACCGTGTATAGAGCATGCATGTGCGTTTCCACAAGAATCTTATCCCGAATATATAATTGAAAGTGAAGTTTGTTTGCTGCAAAAGGCAATTGTTTTAGTTGCCGCATATTTGGTGCTTGCTGAAAACAATGAAGTGGTGTATGCATTCTTTATGTGATTCAATCTCTCTCTTTCAATGCCCTTCATTGAAATGATGCCTCTGAAATATATGAATGATATCAGAGAGATGGTCAGTGAATATGCTCAACAGTAAATTTACTTCATCACTATCCAAAATTTGGTGAACTTCTATAAATCTTTTGTGTTTTGGTCATCATGACTGTGTGAACTTGCTTTGTCTACCAGGGATGGACTGAAAATCATTAAATCAAGAAGCTCTTTAGTACGATTTTTAAGTCACAAATCATGTTCCTCCCTATTTATTTAAAAAAAATCTTATTTTAAGTATAAAATTATTTAAAACAAGTAAAAATTATAATTATGTATTAAACAACTTTATTCACTTTTTAAACATTAAGTAGGATTCAATTAATATAATTTTTTATTCATATTTATATTAACATTAAAAAAAAACATTTGTATGTATTATTGTAGATACCATATAATAATTTTATTCTTTATTCTCGCATTTATTAATCATAAAAGAAAATCAGTAAACAATTATTAATTAAAAATGTAAAAAGAATACAAATAAAAAGGTTCGTCAAAATCAATTTCTCCTTTTTTTCTTTCTTATGATAAATTTATACAGAATGTGCCTTTTCACATTACAGGAGAAGAATTATTTTTTTAAGTAACATGAAAATTATACGATAAAAAGGTAATTACATTCCATGTAATCGATTTTATGTTGTACGTACCAGGAATAGATATTTGTTTATTCATTGTAAAATATTAGCTTTTTCTTATTTTGATTAAATAAATTAGGAAATAGAATTATTGCGGCTTAATTACAGTCCATGGGATGAATTATTTATAAATATGAGCAGAATGAATGAAATCATCAAGCTAGAAATTGTAACATACAAATCAAATTTCATTTGGTCAGATTCTCCTTTGGAAAATCTTGGTTCTGTCACTTGTGTAATTTTTGCTAATCCAACTGATTTACCAATCAATGAAGAGGTATTTTTGTTTAAATTATGTGACAATCAGTGTCGTTAAGTTTAATGTTTTTGATGTGGTTATTTTGCAGGTTAAATCTCTCTGCGATGATATTCAAGGGCTTTGGGATTTCAACATCTGCTAAAGTAACTACATGGTTGGAATTTCACTCAGTGATATTTGGTGTATTTTATAGTAAAATATCAACATTTATTCGTCATGTAGGTGGAGGGTTCATATTATGAAAGCTCTTTCACCAACTCAAAAGCGTAATCGTACCAGTAGAGATAGATGGAAAATAAGCAAAAGGTGGATGAAGAAGATGGGTTGCTCATTGAAATGGAGGAGCTGAATGATGTGATGGACTGCAAGAAGAAACGTGCAAAAAGGTTCAAGAAGAGCCAAGGTTTTTAGCTCTTAGCTGCAACTAATTAAGTTGTGAATCCTTACTACAAGAAAAAACATATTTAGCGACCGAAATTAGCGACCGAAATTTTTGTGTGGCAATTAGAGACCGATTTAATTCGATCGCAATTAGCAACCGATTTAGCGACCAATTTAATTCGGTCGCTATTAGCAATCGAATTAGCGACCGAATTAATTCGGTCACAATTTAGCTACCGATTTAGCCACCGAAATATAATTTGGCTTCACAGTTTTTAGTTAGCGACCGAAATAGTGACCAATAGTTTGCGTCGCAAATTTTCAGTCGCTAAATCGGTGGCTATTCCACACTAAAATAAAAAAAAATTATTTAGCGATTGATTTAGCGATCGAATTATAATCGGTCGCTAATAAGAAAATAATGACCGAATTTAAATCGGTTACTAATGAACATTATTTTTTATTATATTTAAATTTATTTTTTTATAAATATACTTTAATTGTTTTAGTATATTTTTTACAATTTATTTTTTAAAAGTAATTTATTTTTTAAAAATAATTTAATTTTTAAAAGATACTTTAAAAATAAACTTTGGTCTCAATATTAACAAAATGAAGATTAACTTTAATTTTAAATTACTAAAATAAAAATATTATTAAAAATAAATCAAATTTATTAAAAATTTAAATTGCAATAAATTAAGACTAGAGTAATATTAACTATTCAATACATTGTTTAAGAAAAGTTTAATAATAAATATTCTTTAATTTATTTTTCAATTGAAAATTTCAATTGAAATTAAATTATATTTTAAAAATTTATATTAAAAAAATTAAACACATCAAATGATCACATTTTAATTCCTCATTAACTTAATTAATTAAAAAAAATAAAATTTTAATCAAATTATTACAATTTTATTTTATAAAACTTTATTTTTAATCTAATCTTTAAATTTATTGCTTTATTATTATTAATTACTTAACCATGGTTATTTTCATATAATTGATATACAAAAAAAATTATATCAATATACATTAGATAATCAATATACATTAGTTTAAGTATACTAACTAATATTTTTTCATTTTTAACATAATTAATAACAAAGATTAAAAATAGACTGCTAGAAAAGTTAAAAATTTAAAACTAATCTATTTTATAAATACTAAAAATAAACCATATTTAAATAAATTAAAAATATATTTAAATTTATATTCAACCTACCTCCAATTTTACTCAATAAATTTATAGATCACATTTGAAAACTTCATCACTTAAATAACTTCAAAATTATTAACTTTTTTTTTCAAAGCCAAGTTTTTCTTGTCAGTTTTTTCAAAAAAAAAAAAAACAGTTAATATAAGTTAAGGTTGTGCCTTTTAAAAATTTCAACTTTTTTATATATTGGATTTTCATTAAAAAATTTCTAAAATTACATAAGAAAATAGATATTTAATTATACTTTTAATAAATTTAAGACAATACTAGTTTTGATTTTTATTTTTAAATATTTATTTTAATTTTTTAAAACAGAGAAACTATAATTTTAGTTTCTAAATACTAAATTTAAAAGAATTAAATTTATTATTATTTAATCTTTTAATTTTAGTATTAAAAATTTAAATTATATTTTCTTAAATTAAAATAATTACAGTATATTTTTCTACTTTGAGAATTAAAAATATAATTAAACTAAAACTGAAAATATTATAATATATTTTTGAACTCTTTTGTATTAATTTTTTTTCCTAATTTTGTATAAAGTCAATTTTAATATTTAAAATTATTTAACATTTTGAATTCTGAAACGTTTTCTCTATTAGCAAATTTAAAAACATAATATTCAAAAAAATAGTTAATGTAAGTTTTCATTATGATCGATTAAATTTTCAAACGATCAATTATATTTGAAAATATATAATAAGCGGTTCCACGTTAACCGCTATTAGATGTTCACTTTTAAGAGCGGTTCAAGTGGGACCACTATCATATATAACCACATATTTCATTCTGATCGATTAAATTTTCAAATAATCGATTATATTCGATAATTTTTTCAAATAATTAATTGTAATCGATTAGTTGTTTAAATAATTGATTAGAATTGATTAGTTTTTCAAATAATAGATTATAATTGATTAATTTCTCAAATATATATTAAAAAATTATAAATAAGAATATAAATTATTTAAGAATATTAATTATTGTAAAGATAAAGTAGAACATGGGAGGAGATGAGGATGATAATATAATGATAGAATTTTCAAAAATGTAGAATTGAGAAGTTAAAAAAAAAATTAAGAAAATAGAGATTTAATTATACTTTTAATAAATTTAAGATAATAGTAGTTTTTATTTTTAAATATTTATTTTAATTTTTTAAAACAGAGAAACTATAATTTTAGTTTCTAAATACTAAATTTAAAGAATTAAATTTATTATTATTTAATCTTTTAATTTTAGTATTAAAAATTTAAATTATATTTTATTAAATTAAAATAATTACAATATATTTTTCTACTTTGAGAATGAAAAATATAATTAAACTAAAACTGAAAATATTATAATACATTTTTGAACTCTTTTGGATTATTTTTTTCCCTAATTTTTTATAAAGTCAATTTTAATATTTAAAAGTATTTAACATTTTGAATTCTGAAACGTTTTCTCTATTAGCAAATTTAAAAATATAATATTCAAAAAAATAGTTAATGTAAGTTTTCATTATGATCGATTAAATTTTCAAATGATCGATTATATTTGAAAATATATAATAGCGGTTCCACGTTAACCGCTATCTAAAATATATTTTAGATAGCGGTTAAGGTTTAACCGCTATTAGATGTTCACCTTTAAGAGTGGTTCCAGTGGAACCGCTATCATATATAACCACATATTTCATTATGATCGATTAAATTTTCAAATAATCGATTATATTCGATAATTTTTTCAAATAATTAATAGTAATCGATTAGTTTATTAAATAATTAATTAGAATTGATTAGTTTTTCAAATAATAGATTATAATTGATTAATTTCTCAAATATATATTAAAAAATTATAAATAAGAATATAAATTATTTAAGAATATTAATTATTCTAAAGATAAAGTAGAACATGGGAGGAGATGAGGATGATAATATAATGATAGAATTTATAAAAATGTAGAATTGAGAAGTGAAAAAAAATTAAGAAAATAGAGATTTAATTATACTTTTAATAAATTTAAGATAATACTAGTTTTTATTTTTATTTTTAAATATTTATTTTAATTTTTTAAAACAGAGAAACTATAATTTTAGTTTTTAAATACTAAATTTAAAGAATTAAATTTATTATTATTTAATCTTTTAATTTTAGTATTAAAAATTTAAATTATATTTTATTAAATTAAAATAATTACAATATATTTTTCTACTTTGAGAATGAAAAATATAATTAAACTAAAACTGAAAATATTATAATACATTTTTGAACTCTTTTGGATTATTTTTTTCCCTAATTTTTTATAAAGTCAATTTTAATATTTAAAAGTATTTAACATTTTGAATTCTGAAACGTTTTCTCTATTAGCAAATTTAAAAATATAATATTCAAAAAAATAGTTAATGTAAGTTTTCATTATGATCGATTAAATTTTTAAATGATCGATTATATTTGAAAATATATAATAGCGGTTCCACGTTAACCGCTATCTAAAATATATTTTAGATAGCGGTTAAGGTTTAACCGCTATTAGATGTTCACCTTTAAGAGTGGTTCCAGTGGAACCGCTATCATATATAACCACATATTTCATTATGATCGATTAAATTTTCAAATAATCGATTATATTCGATAATTTTTTCAAATAATTAATAGTAATCGATTAGTTTATTAAATAATTAATTAGAATTGATTAATTTTTCAAATAATAGATTTTAATTGATTAATTTCTCAAATATATATTAAAAAATTATAAATAAGAATATAAATTATTTAAGAATATTAATTATTCTAAAGATAAAGTAGAACATGGGAGGAGATGAGGATGATAATATAATGATAGAATTTATAAAAATGTAGAATTGAGAAGTGAAAAAAAATTAAGAAAATAGAGATTTAATTATACTTTTAATAAATTTAAGATAATACTAATTTTTATTTTTAAATATTTATTTTAATTTTTTAAAACAGAGAAACTATAATTTTAGTTTTTAAATACTAAATTTAAAGAATTAAATTTATTATTATTTAATCTTTTAATTTTAGTATTAAAAATTTAAATTATATTTTATTAAATTAAAATAATTACAATATATTTTTCTACTTTGAGAATGAAAAATATAATTAAACTAAAACTGAAAATATTATAATACATTTTTGAACTCTTTTGGATTTTTTTTCCCTAATTTTTTATAAAGTCAATTTTAATATTTAAAAGTATTTAACATTTTGAATTCTGAAACGTTTTCTCTATTAGCAAATTTAAAAATATAATATTCAAAAAAATAGTTAATGTAAGTTTTCATTATGATCGATTAAATTTTCAAATGATCGATTATATTTGAAAATATATAATAGCGGTTCCACGTTAACCGCTATCTAAAATATATTTTAGATAGCGGTTAAGGTTTAACCACTATTAGATGTTCACCTTTAAGAGTGGTTCCAGTGGAACCGCTATCATATATAACCACATATTTCATTATGATCGATTAAATTTTCAAATAATCGATTATATTCGATAATTTTTTCAAATAATTAATAGTAATCGATTAGTTTATTAAATAATTAATTAGAATTGATTAATTTTTCAAATAATAGATTATAATTGATTAATTTCTCAAATATATATTAAAAAATTATAAATAAGAATATAAATTATTTAAGAATATTAATTATT